CTCCTCCTCCTCCTCCTCCTCCACCTCCTCCTCCTCCTCCTCCTCCTCCTCCTTCTTCTTTTCCTCCTCCTCCTCCTCCTCTCTCTGTCTCTATATATAATATATATATATTATATATATATATATATTTTTTTTTTGAGACAAGAGTTCTCTATGTAACGGCTCTGGCTCTCCTGTGTCTTGGAGTTTGCTTTGTAGAGCAGGCTGGCCTCTAACTCACAGAGATCTGCCTGCCTCTGTCTCCTAAGTGCCCAGCATATTTTTTTACTTCTAGATACAGATCTTATTTTGATATGGCCTATGACTGGTCTTGAGGAAAAGACATCACTCTGTAAAAATAATCAGGTCTAAAATAGTTATGATGAAGACATTAGATCCCAGTTCTCTCATCAGGTGCAGTGAATTTAAAAAGCCTTTCGGGGTTAAAACAATTCAGTTTAAAATACTTAAGGTATTTTTCAGGCATTCCAGGTGATCACTTGACAATATGGTTCTGAACATTTTGAAGATACAGGAGTTGCATCTTGAGTTGAACTATTCCCATATAAGGAAACTGTATGAAAAGGCAGAACAGACAAAAGATGTCTTCAATGTTCTAATAACTTTGTAAAATTATATATGCATACTGTTTGTATTTAGAACATCTACCTAGTTATTTCACAAGGACTCAAGTGCTGGAAGGCATGGGTTTCAAATCATGTTCTGTCACTATGTGACCTGCGCAATGGCACGTCAACACCATGGGCTCACTCTGCCCTTCTTACAGTGTGGAGCGCCATGATGCTCAACACACTTTATACATATCACCAAAGAGAATGTGCTTAGCATTTTATGGTTCTAATGTTCAATGGGACAAGTAACTATGGTGAAATACAGAGCCCTATTGAGAGCAACGTGGAGGATGCAAATTTCATGGAGCAGACACAAGAACAAAACTGAATCATTACACGTTAAAGGTTTAAATACTAAGACTTAGTCAAATAAAACCAAAACTATGGCTAAGCCCTGTTGTTTTTACATGGTAATAATTTTAGCACTGTGGAGGCTGGAACAGGAGGATAATGAGTTCCAGTCTGGCTATACAGTGAGACCTGTCTCAAAAGACAAAACACTACTTATGCTTGCATTCCACAGATCCTCAGAGCTAACGTAAGGAGTGTGATGCAGGGGCTGGGGAGATGGCTGATGGTAGAGTGTTGTGCAGCCATGAGGACCCGGGTTTAGATCTTTGGCATGCATGTATGTATTTGTTCAATTTACTTTGATGCCTGATAAGACCTGGTAGTTTATTCCCAAGGGACCCCATTGCAAAAGTGCATTTCTCATTAAATACTTAAGATATAACCGGAAAAATTAGCGAAGAGAGGATTTCTTTATAAAGTTGGCTGGAAACACTAATGCCACTCTAGTTCCAACAAGTGTGTGTTAATGCCCAGATCTTGTTTCTAAATAGCTCATTATAAAAAGAGCCAGGAGTTTCAGGAGAGCTGTTTCCATGCAGGTTTGGGGCAATGGAGATGTAGGATGAACTTGAGATGTCATGTGTTAGAAGGTAATACAGCACCCAGGGACCAGAGACAATGCCAGAAGCAGTGACTGTAACTGACTAACACACTGACTCATCTGTGATCACCGTGGATCACACACACACACACACACACACACACACACACACACACACCCCTCCTAAACTTGTTAATTAGTGGAAAGAGCTAAGCATAATCTTACTTCTAATGCACTTCCAGCTAATGAAGGAAAATTCCTCCTTACAGAATACTGCCCAACAAGTGTGGGAAGAGCAATAGAAAACCACTTATTTTGCAGACCTTAAGGGAAAGGCTGGCCCAGGCAAGGATTGCCACTAGGAAACAACATGACTAGGTACAAATCCGTTGGTTAAGAGGACAGCCACATTGCCCAAGTGTCAGTCTACAGATGATTAACCATAACAGGAAGAATCACATTGGGACAATCTGGTGCTTACCACCTCAACAGCCAATTGTCACGTCACCTATGGTGTGTTGGCCTGATAGTGAGTTCTGGCAATGAAGGAGGAACTGCAACCGTAAAGATGCTTAACCTGAGCTCAGTTAAGCCTTGGCCTCAACATCTAATTTACAGAAGCTTCAGGACATATATTACACCACACACAAGCCACGTATAAACTATTTAAATTCTGAACGTGACAGTGAACATACCCTGAAAACAATGGAAGGAACTGGTGTAGCTGGAGGAAGTGGGCACAATAAAGGGCATGCAGAACCACACTGGCTCAACGGGGGAATCCAAGAATAGATTAGGTGTTAGATATTAGAAAGGGCTGTCCACTTTCTATAAGGTAATATAGTTATGACTTATTTTATGAGATGTATTTAGAGGTGAAATGTCTTTAAGTTACTTTTCAGTATGGCAAAATATTAACTTTAAAGATATAGGTGTTTGATTTTATGTTTTTTAAACTTTTTTTTTTACATATTTAGCAATGTTCCTCATAAAAAGTTGTGAGAGATACTTGTTAAAATCTGTTGAATTACTCATGGGGTCAGACAACTTTAAAGTGAGGGAAAAACACATGAAGACAGGATTCTGTACTATTATCTATTTTTTTTATAGAAGCCTTACTTGCCTCTGTGCAGCAGTGGAAGACTTTAGATTATTTACATGGGACACACGAAGGCAGGAAACACAAAGCAGCGCCCTAGGGCCTGCACCACACCATCTTCATCCCAGCAGAAAGAAGCATTATACAAGGCATGAAGCAACATCAAAACCGTCTAGAAAACACAGTTGCTATTCTTAACAGAACTGCGGAATGAGCATAATCTAACTATTTTTAAACCAGTATTTTATGAATACTATGAAATCAAGGGTAACTAATGTCAGGAAAAGAGAAAGTGACAATTTCATGAAGAACACAGCTGGGTGGTGGTGGCGGTGATGGCAGTTGGTGGGGGCACACCTTTAATCCCAGCACTAGGGAAGCAGAGGCAGCTTGGTCTACAGAGTGAGTTCCAGGACAGCCAGGGCTACACAGCGAAACCCTGTATCAAAAAACAAAACAAAAAATCCAACCAATAAACCAAACAACCAACCAACTAACCAACCAAAAAACCAAAACCAACAAAAAACAAACATAAAAACCACGCCCACAAAGATAGCCTCAGGATGCCAGCACCTCAACCTTTCTTCAACCCCCATTGTGGTGTCTAGTGATGCTGTGTTGTCAATACAAGCTTAGGCTATTTATGGTACCAGAATTTGTTTTTTCTCATTTAGTTAAGGAACTTTTCATTGGGCAATGATGTCCCACAGCTTCTGATTCTCCATTCTTAAGCTGTTATTACACAGTAAATAGTATTTGTTAACCACGTGATGCATGGACACAGTTATTTTTCAGCCTCACCAATTTCCCCTTCACGTCTGTGGTTCTACTTTACTACTCAGCTCTAATTTACACAACTTACTCATCAATTCAGCCAATGCACACTTATCATATGCAAGGCACTGGAGAAACAAGAACGAGCAAAATGGAGCTCTGCTCTACATTCTCAGAGTGCGATGCTACGGGTAGTAAATACTACAGCAGTTAAAAAAATAGATTCCTGCCAATCTTTTTAAGACCCATGAACTCAGTTATTGTTTAATGATTATTGATTAATGATAGGCTTTTCCCAATGAAACATTTCCCTAACACCTTAAGAGTAATTTCTATTTTACTTACTTCCATGTGTGAAGGAGTACTAGGCTTCCAGTTTTTCCTGAAAATAATTTCCTTTTTAGCTTCCTATAAGTAGGCTAATTTTTCCTTTACTACTGTTATTTCCTCAGGTAAAGGGGTCTAGATACATTTCATGTCACACAGCGGCTTACATAATTCCCTTCCTCGCGCCTTTCCACCCTGGTTTTCCCTTGCCACCTCTGCAGGGGACCGGAACCTTTTCTGTCATTTAGTCTCACGTTATTTGTATAGCTATGTTCATTGCTTATTCAACTTGGCTTATAGGGTAGCATTTGGCAACTTATTTAGGTAGGATTAGGCTTGTTCCGTGGCAAAGTAGTTAAGAGCATATCCTTTCCTTTTCTTTACTCTAAAGATCTTTGTTAATGGAAAAGGTTCAATCAAAAAGTCTGTCTTGAGCACAGAAGGCTCTCAGGAAATGTACTTCAGTGAAAGAAATGGCTTTGCTATGTTAAGAGCCACGGGAAAACTTCTCAATTTAAAAGCTCACTGGAAAAAAATGGGAATGGTAAGCCTGTCTTTGTTTTCTTCAGGGGGATGCTGGCTGTCAAAACCAAGTGAAACTAAGAATCCAAGAATCCGGTTGTGCTAAAGATGATTTAAATTGTGCCTGTTTGAGTGTATTCGTGTCTAGAATGCACTGACCCTCCACCTTATCAGACTACCCCTCCTCCTGGAGGACGTGCAGTTAGCAGTGGTCATGGAGAAATCTTTGGAGATCCTTTTGGGTCTCGTCCACAAGCTTCACAAGGAAGTTGTAATGGGAAAAGAAGAAGCCGAAAAATGGGATGGACCTTTTACTTATTTTAAGGCTTCAAAGCTAGGATGAAGCAGAGGCCCCAGAACATCTATCTTCTTTCCTATAATGTCAGGATTACTCTCTAGTGTGAGGTCTACTTGGATGGATGCTTGCCCAAGTTATAGTCATAAGGCCTCAATAAAACATACTTGACACATACTAAGAGTTGATGAGTCAGATTTTAAAATATCTTTTCATAGTATTTCTGGAATGAATTCAAGGGATATAACAGCTAAGCGGTTGATGGATATTCAGGCTTCACACTAGGATCTAAATGGACCAGAGCCGCTTTACTAATTCTCGTACTTCTGCTACTGTGGCTTCTAGCATATTGCACTTCTTCAGCTTTCTTTCGAATAGTTTGACACAGCACACGAAATGAAACTTAAGCAATCAAGTTTTAAAGCTTAAACAAAGTCATATCCAATAGCTGTGGTATCTGGCACCTGCTGCGGTGCCTGACACCCGTATGAACACGTTGATGCTGAATAAGATTGGTACTCTGGGTGAAGGATTTCCCACATATACGGCACACATAGGGCTTCTCTCCTGTGTGAATTCTCTGGTGTTGAATAAGGCATGTTCTCTGGCTAAAATCTTTGTTACAATGACTACATTTATAGGGTCTCTCCCCAGTGTGAGTTCTTCGGTGTTGATTAAGTGATGAGGAGTAAATAAAAGCTTTTCCACATTGATGACATTTATAGGGTTTCTCTCCAGTATGGATCCTTTGATGCTGAGTAAGATTTGCACCTTGTCTGTAAGCTTTCCCACATACATTACATTTAAAGGGCTTTTCTCCATTGTGAATCCTCTGGTGTTGAGTAAGGTGCACGCTCTGGCTGAAGGCTTTCCCACACACGCTACATTTATACGGCTTCTCTCCAGTGTGTGTTCTATGATGCTGAGTAAGATTTGCACTCTGGCTGAAGGCTTTCCCACACACATTACAGATATAGGCTTTCTCGCCAGTGTGGATAGTTTGGTGTTGTATGAGAGTTGAGGAATGAGCAAAAGCCTTCCCACACTCATTGCATTTATAGCACTTCTCTCCAGAATGAATTCTCTGATGTCGAATGAGGTAAGTGCTCTGACTAAACACCTTCCAACACTCATTGCACTTGTATGGTTTTTTCCCAGTATGAATTTTTTGATGTTGGAGGAGGTGTGTACTCTGACTGAAAGTTTTCCCACATTCATTGCATATGTAAGGTTTTTCTCCAGTATGAACTCTCTGATGATTAATCAATGATGAACTATGACTAAAGGTTTTACTGCATTCCAAACATTTATATGGTTTCTCACCAGTATGTGTCCTTTGATGTATAGTAAGATGTGCACGCTGACTAAAGTCTTTTCCACATTCATCACACTTGTAGGGCTTTTCTCCAGTATGGATTCTCTGATGTATAGTAAGGTGTGCCCGCTGGCTGAAGGCTTTACCACACTGGTGACATTCATACGGCTTTTCTCCAGTGTGCATTCTCTGATGTGCAATGAGGGAGGAGATGTGCTTAAACTTTTTCCCACATTCTTCACATTCATATGATTTCTCTTTGGCATGGCTATTTCGGTGTGCCAGGAGGGATGGGTATTTCCTAAATTTTTTTCCACAGACATTACACGAATAAGGCTTATCTCCAGGAAGTATTTTCCCATGCACAACACCAGATGAGACATTAGTGAATGTTGGCTTGCTTTCATCATACAGAGAAGTTTTATTATCTGATTGGGTATCAAACTGTACAACCAGGTTTGTGTGCTTTTCAAAGTTATTTCTATATATATCGTATTTACTAAGATAGTCTTCTGTAGAGTCTTCTTCTGAACTTTCTGACTTCAAACTGAAGTCTCCTTCATCCAGGTGAATCTTCCTGAAGGCATACACTGGCTGCCTCTCTAATCTGTCATCACAGTCGTAGGCTTCTTCCAATTTGATGGTCTGGGTTCCATCCTGTTTGAACTTAGGTGGATCTGTTAATGGAATATGTGCTTCAGCTTTTGTTTCCCATTCTGAAATAAAAAAAGTAAGAGTCTTACACTCTCTAAAGAAAGGAAACAAAATATATACTAATAAAAATATCTGAAGATTACAGTTCTGATAACTTCATTTTATGGTCCTTAAAGTTTAGAAAGGGAAAATGAGGGCTTAGAAAAGGCAATAAACACTGAAAATGGGAGGCTTCTTATAGCCATCATGGCACCAAGTGCATAGAGGAGGCAGGTGACAGTGTTAAAAGAAACTGGGGATACAAAGTGACCTCATACAGTAGGCCTGCTGCTTTATTATTTTCCCTTCCAATCTATAGGCACAATCCCAAATAATAATAAATTTTGCTTTTGTTATCTTTTTGAGACAGGGTCTATGTAGCTCTGGCTATCCTGGAACTCCCTAGGTAGAGCAGGCTGGCCTTGAACTCACAGAGATCCACTTGCTGGGATTATAAGTGTGTGCCACTATGCTAGGCTACATACAATATCCTCATTCATTCATTCATTCACTTATTTATTTAGGTTTTTGGAGACAGGGTTTCTCTGTGTACCCTGGCAGTCTTGTAATTCAATCTATAGACTAGGCTAGTCTTAAACTCAGAAATCCACCTGCTTCTGCCTCCTGAGTTCTGGGATTAAATTAAAGGTGTGTGCTACCAAGTCCACCTCATACAACAGTCTTAAAATAATCCATGGAGTACTTTCTACTCTCAATTATCCAGTAGTCTTTAAACAATGGTTCTTGAATCCAATGTCTCTGGATTTGCAGTGAAAGTTTCCCCGTCACACTGAAAATGAGTTGAAATTATTGGGTCCTGTCCTAAATTTATTTAAGAGGCATTGGCAGTGGGGCTGGATGATTTGTTTTAGCAAGCACAGAGGCTCTTTCTTTCCACAGCAAAGTGGAAGCGGGAGGACAAGCAACCTGAAGACTACAAGGGAGTTCAGAATACCTTCTCTTGGTATTTAGCCCAAAATGATCTTTTACCTTTCTCCATCTTGTACATATGATATTTAGTTTAAGTTCAAAGCTACGTTCACAGTCTGAAAGCACCATGCTAATTCCAGACTGTCTGATCCCATCTACTGAAGGAGATGTTTGCAATTCACCTTGTTCCCCTCACAGCGTTCCTTCCTACAATCTAAATACAGAGGAGATGAATGAAAGAGTCAGTTGTCTTCCTCAAAGGTCAAAGGGCTGACTATCAGCAATCTCAATGTGGTTCAACTTAATACAACGACAGAACCTAAGGCCTTACACATTTATTTTACAACTTTGTGTGACTTACATTTTCACAACTTTGTGTCACTTCTGACAACTTATACTTTCAACTTAGATGTAAATTCTGGAAATAGCTTTTATCTTTCTTACATTTCCTTCAGAAAATGGCCCAAGACTTTGAATTTGGGGCCAGTCAAATGAACTTAGAAAAATGATAATAACTTGTAATGATAATTTGTTTATATAAAATACAAACAAAAAACTCTAACCCCAAACGTGGTTTCAAGGCACTCAGGTATGCATTTCTTGGTAGCTGCTGCTATGTTTCCAATAAATGATTTAAAGCAAACTTGTTACTCCTCTATGACACCAAGTGGGGAAATATATAACTTCTCTTAGTTATGTAATATGATGATAGAAAAAAGGTACTGGATGGTTCAGAAACTAAATGCAGCTCAAGGTATAATAACTTTACCAGCCTGTCACTTCAACAGGACAGAATGTGGCCACTGAAAATGGAATGTTGCAGGGCATGAGTGGAAAACTGGTTACTGCAGGAGGAGGGAGGTCTAGGCACACCTAGGAAAAGCTGTGCCTGCACACCAAGGGAACAAAGGCAGGTGTGAAGCGGCACATGGAGGGAGCCCGGTTTATCTCTGTAAAAGCATGCCATATGAATAACACAGATACGTTGATAGTCTGAGGGACGGGGTCCTAGCAATCGCTGAGGGGAGAAGCCACATATTTAATCTGCTTCCTCACACTGCATGAATTTACAAACCATCTTTATTACTTTTATTCAAAAACAAAATCACAGCTGACAGTAGAGCCTGTCTAGGAGTAAAGTCAAATGAGAAAGTGCCACCGTGAAGGAGGAGGAAGAAATAGTAGCTTGCTTTTTCTAATGTTCTCCTTTTACTGCTGTTTAGTGCTAGAAGTGGTTATATTGTTTTTTTTTAATAGAGGAAAAAATTTAAAAGACAACTTTCAAATCAGTCTATTATCCTGATCCAAAAGAACAAAACAGCTGGATTCAACAATTAGGTACATTGATAAGAAGAATAATCTGGTCCTAGCAGTTCAGTTTAACTTCTGTGTAGTTAAGTTACAGTATCTACATATATCTAAAAAGGAAGTACTCAGCACATATGTGTGTGCACACATGGACATACATAAACCACACACACACACATACTGATTGAACCCAGACCCTCATGCATTCTAGATAAGTGTGCTACCACTGAATTACACCACAAATTATAATTAACAAGCTTAAATCAAAAGCTCACTGGTACTATTACAATAAACATATATTTAAGAAAATCAGTTTATTAGAAATTCAGGAACTAAGCCTGTAAGATTTTAGACAATTCTGAAACCATTTCTGACAATTCCAAACCCTCTCAGCCTCTGTGCCTCAGTGCTTCCCCTCCTCCCCTGGGAACCAAGGACCTAACAGCTACACATGCACGTACTCAGTTCCTGAACAATTACTCATACACGTATATTTTGATTCAGTCCCCTGGGAAACGGGGTCAAAATGACCTCTTACCTCATCTGATCTGACAATAGTTCTCCAGTCAATTATTGGTATTAGCCCTTCTCGAATAAGCCAATCATAATGGTCAAGGAAAAGCCCCTCTTGTTTCTATGGGGCCTTCTCTTTTAAAAGTAGACTGTACCAGCTATTCGGGGTCTCTCAGCTTCCCGAATGCTGAGGGACCCTGTCATGACAGAATTAATAAAATCCTCATGCTTTTGCATCAGCTGTGGTGTATGAGGTGGTCTCTGGGGGCGACTCCTTCTTGGGTTGGACACTAGAGTCCAACAAGCCCATGAATCAAAGTTTAGTATGTGTATCTATCTATCCAGAATGGTTGCTTACAGGTGATATTTGTTGGTTAATAAGGCCTAACAGTGGTTTAGTATTTTCAATAAAAGAATCCGTGTTGATTCAGGTAAACATAGAAGTTACAGCAGAGATGGTGTGATCTGAATTGAGCCTCAGGCTAGGTCCTGTACAGATACGAACTATAAGTGGCTCAGCAGTTAAGAGCAATTGTTGCTCTTGCTCAGATTCTCAGCACCCACCTGACGGCTCACAACCGCCCTTAACTCAGATTCTCAGCACCCACCTGACGGCTCACAACCGCCCTTAACTCAGATTCTCAGCACCCACCTGACGGCTCACAACCGCCCTTAACTCAGATTCTCAGCACCCACATGATGGCTCACAACCACCCTTAACTCCTGTTCCAGGGGATCTGATGCCCTCTTCTGGCCTGCACAGATAACAGAGACACACAGTGCACATACACACATGTAGGCAAAACAATCATATACATCAAAAAGTCTGAGCTGAACACACACCTTTAATCCCAGAATTTAGGAGGCAGAGGCAGGTAGATTTCTGTGAGTTCAAGGTCATCTTGGTATATAGAGCTAGTCCAGGACAACCAAGGCTACACTGAGAAACCTTGTCTCAAAAACCCAAAAGATTAAAAAAAAGTAAAAAGAACAAAATTAAATCAAACCAAAACAGTTACAAGACAGTAATGGCCACTGAAGACCAACATGGCTAGTTACAAAAGACCCATGTTTCAGCTTCCTTTATTTATTTATTGTAGACAGATCTCTCTATGTAGCCCTGGCTACATGGACCAGACTGCCCTTGAATTTACAGACTCTGCCTGCTTCTGCCTCCCAAGTGCTTGGATTAAAGGGATGTGACATCCCACCTGGCTCTTTTCTTGAAGTAGAACCAATGAGATACGTTAGTCAAAGGCTGGACTAGCTGCTCCTCTCTGGGCTGGCAGGACAGCAAACTCCTCAGCATTAGCCAAAACACAGGAAGGGTAGCCAGAGCTGACGTCATCTACTTGAGATGTCTACCCAAGACAGCGCAGGAGTTTAAACAGTCACTTTGAGAGTGCCAGCAGTCCAAGCCTAAGACAAAGCTGGGCCCAACTGGAAGGAGCCGACAGGATCCCTTTGCAGAGGAGATCAGCACCAAGGGCCAGCCGAAAACAGAAAATGTAAAAGAACTTGGTCACTTTCCCAGTCTTTGTGCTTAGTAAAAGCTCTCACACATAACTGCAAATGGCCCCTTCTTCACTTTACAGACATACCCGAGATCCTAAATGGCCTACAATCCCCCATGCTATCAAGTTCATTCAAGTGGTCCCAGACTGGTGGCACCTCCCAGAGACCAGCATGATGTCAGCTGAGGCTTATTTCGTTACTCCACATGATTTCTCCCATGTGCCAATTAAATTGACAAAAATCCTGCCAATTAAAGCTGTGATTATGGAAAAGAATTAGCTTTTCCAGTAGTAATCCTTAAAATATATATTGAACAATTAACCTTTTAAAAAAAGTGAAATCACATAGAATTTTGTCATTATTGTTTAAGTAACTGTTAATGCTATATTATGGATATTCAAGTGGGTATCTTAAATAATAATAAAAATAATAGTAATATTAATGATAACAAGATGCAAGAATAATACAAAATGTTCTTTGTGTGTATATATATATATATATTTATATATATCAGAAAATATGTTAATTTATCTTTTATAAAAAGCCAGGAAAGAGAACTGAAACAAATAGTTATCTTAAGGGAGCAGAAAGCATCAGAGTTTATATCTTTTTATGCAGTCCTAATTTCTGAACTAAGTTAGTGACTTTATATACCGAAATATAAAAAACAAGAGAGAGTGTATTCCTTAGTGGGATATAACATAAGGACAAAATAAAAAGACTTCAATGAAACTGTAAACTTCCTACTAGTCATTGA